TGGGCCTGACCCGATGTCAACCCAATAAGGTCGGGTTGGCTAATTTTTTTATCGATCAAGCATCGGGTTACCTCAGGTTGGGTGTTTTTTTAAAAATTCGGGTTGGGTGTTTTTTTATAAATTCGGGTTGGGTTGGTCGGGTTCATCGGGTTCATCGGGTTTTTGAGCACCCCTAGTTGCGCGCGCAGAACTCAAAGTTGTCTTAAAAATGCCAAAGGCAATATATTGAGCTATAATTTACCAAAATTAACTATTTGGGATATAATATTAATATAATCGTTGTACAGAACCCTGTTCCATTAATAAAATCAGTTAAAGTAAGTGCTAACCTGAGGTGAAAAGTTGAGGGTTGTCACATTTGAGTTCCATGGTCTTCGATTTCTAAGTTTCTTCAGTTTCAACTCCCCTGGTTTCCATGGTTCCCGATTTCATGGTTTTGGATTTCTTGTATGTGCCTTCCATGGTTCTCGGATTTCATGTTTGCATATGCTTTCTATGGTTCTCGATTTCTTGTTCCATGGTTCTCTATTGCATATGCTACTAATTCATGGTTATCGATTGCATATGCTATTGTTTGATGGTGGGGTTTGAAGATCTTGTAGTTATATGGAAGAATGTATTTTTTTTGGTCATTTTACATAAATAAGCAAAAATTGCCAAACACTAAAAAACAAATTATCAGTTTTTACGTTTTTTTTACCTTCATAAGCTAATCCAAACACCTTTATAAAACTCCAATTCGACACCACATAAGTCAATAAGCTATTTCACAAAAAGACACAAGTTGTTTGACACCACATAAATAAGCAAACACAAACACCCCCTTACTCACAGTTTTATCGATCTTGTTCCTCGTCATGTGGGTTTGTTCCTCATCTTCGATTTTGTTCAGTTTTGGGTTTGTGTGATTTGTTCCTCATATTCAAAGGTAATCAATGAGTTTTATTCAGTTTGATTTTGCTTTTACAATAATCGATTTTTAGTTTTTTTTTGTTCCTCGTCTTCCACTTTGTTCACTTTTGGGTTTGTTCGATTTCTTTTCACATTCGAATGTATAGTATAGATTATGTTCAGTTTGCTTTTGTTTTCACAGTAGTCAATTTTCATAGTTTTATTTTGTTCTTCATATTCTTTCACACAATTACTAACCCTAGCAATCCCATCCCATGGGTTTAGAGATAGAAATGGGGAAGATAGCGGTGCAGATCAAATCAAGAGTATCTTAGATAGTTTTTTTGTGGTCTCAGTCTCGATCCATGTTCTTCATCATTATTCAACCTACATCCATTTTGTTCAAAAGATTGATATGATGGATGGTTCTTATCGTGAGAGAGACTGCAAATGTAGAATGAGTTTTTTTTAACCATACATCAACAATAGAGAACAATATAAAACAATACTAGAAGGGTACTCATACAATGAAGCGAGATAAATCTCGATTTTGATTTTTTTTTTTGTCTCAGTTGTTATAATACAGTTTTATGTGGTTTTCAAAAAACGATAATATTTTGATTTTTAAATAAAATATAAATATAAAGATATATCATAAAAAATTGAAAAAAAATATTGACATTAGTACCAAATTAACTATTTAAAATTTCTCCGTTTTGTGTATTTTTTTAATTCATTTTTCTATTTTAGGTTTTAATAATATAATTTTTTATAAAGATAATAATTATGTATTTTGTTAGAACTTAATAATTATCCTAATTATATTATATTTTAAATTTTTTACATTTAAAAGATATATTTATCCTCTATTTGATTATGTTTATCTGTAGTTAATTATACAAATTCAAACATGAAACTTTAATAAGTTGTACTTACGCGTAGTTTACTTGTAATCTTGAATTTTAAGTAATATACATAATAAAAATACTTCATGCATAAAAATAATTTTTAAGAGTTTTTATTAATATTTTTATAATATAACTAGAAGGTACTTGCACAATACAGCAAGTTATATATTCATTTTAATGTTTCGTTTTATTTTTTGTTTTTGTTGATATAATACGGTTTATATAGTTTTGAGAAAGATGATGTTTTTACTTTTGAATAAAAATAAATTTAAAGACATCATAATTTTTAAAAAAGTATATCGATATAATTTATTTAATTCATTTTTTATTATAATTTAATATAGGTCAAATAGTGAAGTAATTTATTTTTGGCTTAACAATAAATTTTTATTGAAGATAATGATTCTGATGACCAAACATACCTAAATGTTTATGAACTGCATCATAAAATTGTACTTTCGTGGGATGCAATAGGTTGTTGTACCCGCCATAAAGATTTCTATTTTGCTTGTGGAAGTTTCAGTCGGAGATGAGCTAAATTTTGCTCCCAGCAATGGATTCTTTAAGGTTAAGGGGACCTCCACGTCCTCCCCTCCCTTCTCACCAACCAGACACCGAAGCCATCAAACGTAATCACCTCGAAAATGGCGTCTCTTCAACCCCTAAAATGGTTCACACCCTCCGCAAGAAACAGGTTCAAAGATCGAACCGCCGCCGCTCTCCACCCGACCAATCCCCAGAAGAAGTACAAGAAGAAGAAGTTCATTTTCAGACCCTAAAGGCTGAATTCAAAACCTTTAACAGGGCTATCGTTAAAGCCACCAAAAGTAAACAAGATATGGACATAGACCACAGTGTCATTTCGTCGTCGTTGGTGGGGAAGCCGTGGGAGAGGTTGGAAAGAGCTGAATTGATGGAGTATGCGAGTGCTAATAACGAGTTTGTTGGTGGGGAAAATTTGAAGTATGAGCACTTGGATGAATTAAGCGAGTTTATTGAGAAGGAGCGTGATAAATTCAAATGGATTTTGGAGGATGACGTGGAATTGGAATATGGATTGCTTGAGAAGAAGAGTGATAGTTGGGTACCTCCCAAGAGGAAAGTTAGCGACGGTGAAGCAATTCGGTTTCTTGTTGATAGGTACATCTCTCTGAGTTACTTTTGGTATCTAATTGCAATCAGATAATAATCGTACATAATACAGTAAAATTGGGGTCATTTTGTGTGTTCATAACAATATGAAATTAATTTTTTGTGGTTTTGAAATGATAAGCAGTTCTATCTGGTTCTGTATCTTTTGGCCATGGGCTTAAGCTATATGCCTATACGTGTATCCAATTTTGTATCTTTTAGACCTAGAGTGTACGAACCCACATCTTTTACTAGGCGAGATATCCAAATCCTATCAAAACTTAGGCTTGCGTTAGCGGATTCTCTTTTTGCTTGATCATGTGGGTTATGGAGATCATGGTTCTGGAATTATATTTGGTTGTTTACAAGTATTTGGTAATGGTCTCTGAGATTTTATTTGGTTCCCCAAAAGTCTTTGGTAGTGGGCTTACGGTCATGGAGCTTGAGTTGGACAGTACACCGGTCTATGGAAATTCTGTGAGCTAGCAGGAAAGTTACTATTAGATTTTCTTCTAGTAATAGGGACAGTCTTTGTTAAGAAAAAACTGAATTTTATTGATGGGGGTATCTGATAAAACCTTGTTCAAAAACATTTATATATAATTTCCAGCTATTATGTGCGAGTGTGTGATTATCAATTCTAACATTGGCTACCAATAACTTTCAATCGTGGTTTTAGTTGATTTTGGGCCAGTTTTGTGCCGTGATCTTGGGGCATTATATGGTGACATGCTAGAATCTTGTGTATGCGTTTTCCAACTCTATGCAAGTAGATTTCATGAAGGCAGGTGTGTTTTGTGGATATTATTTGTGTCACTTTGTGTCAATGTACGTGTGCGCCCATTTTGTAACTGTACACAATATGGTTTCCTAGAGGTAGGAATGCTTTAAGAGTGTCTGTGTTTTATTTCTATCTATATGTTCTAAGCATGATGAAGTTGTGTATGTTTATAGGCTTAGCGGAACAGAGCCAAGTATGAAGAACTGGAAGTTTTCTAGGATGATGAAGCAGTCGGGGTTGCAGTTCACAGAAGATCAATTGTTGAAAATTGTGGGTGGACTTGGCGATAAAGGTCAATGGAGGCATGCTTTATCTGTTGTGAAGTGGGTGTACAGCTCTAAGGAGCATAGGCACTTTAAGAGCAGGTGCAGTTTTCTTGCTTTTTAGTAATTTTTTTGTTATTTTTCCTCTTGAGCAATAGATCTTCTATATATGAATTGAAACATCATAGTTTGTGAAGCATTAAACGTTTGTCAATGAAATATTTTCTGTTTTTTTTATTAACCTGGATATCCAACCCGCTATGCGAGCCGACTATCCCAGGGTGACCACCTGCTTTGCAGATAGCCCGCAGTCACCGCATTTGAACCTCCGTGGCCACAAGGGGATTTTTATTTCTCCTTGGATTTGAACCTAGGACCTCTTGGTACTTTTGACCTTTGGAGCCAAGCTCAAACCAATCAGGCACCACCCTTGTGGTTAATATTTTCTGGTTTTAGCAATGGAATTTGGTGTTCATGGTTCAGGTCATATACATAATTATGGAGTTTTTTGTTTATGTCGCATCTCTGATGTTGATAACTCATATCTTTATGTCTTAACCTAAAATAATTCCATAATCTTTATCTATTTCTGTTTTTTTTTTTAATTATAGGTTTGTGTACACAAAACTCTTGGCAGTTTTGGGAAAAGCAAGAAGAAGCCATGAAGCCCTTCAAATTTTCAATTTGATGCGTGTAATGATAAAAACACACTTAATTGATTATCTTCCAAAGTTGTATTTTGATCTTACAGGATGAAATCTCACTTCAAATTTATGTAGGCTGATCACCACATATATCCTGATATGGCTGCATACCACTGCATTGCTATTGCACTCGGCCAGTCTGGTCTTCTAAAGGAACTGGTGAACGTAATTGATTGCATGAAGCAGGAACCTTCAAATACTATCAAGAAAATGCGACGCAAAAACTGGGATCCTGTTGTCCTGCCAGACTTGGTCGTATATAATGCTGTAAGAGAGATTTTAGGAGAGGCTCGTTATTTATTATAGCGATAAGGTTAGTTTATAAATTTTTTGGCAGGTGCTGAATGCTTGTACATTGTCTGGTGAGTGGAAGGGAGTATCGTGGGTGTTTGAGGAGTTGAGAAGAAGTGGTCTGAAACCCAATGGAGCAACTTACGGACTTGCAATGGAGGTACTGACTGAACTTTGAATCTTTGTTCATTTAATGTTTCTTAAATGAGTTTTAATTTGCTTAGAACTGAGAAGTATGCATCGTTACAAATTAGAGAAACGAAACCACTATATGCCTTTTAGAGTTAAAATCCATATTATAGCATTAGGTTGTGATTTTTAGATACAGGATGTCAAGCCAGAATGACTATCTTTTCTTTTACTCTCGAATAAGTAAAGTTGTAACTACATTATTCATGTTTTGGTGTGGACATGGATATGTGCATTGTTGATGTCAATATTCTTCATCACTCTGTTGAGCTTCTAATAATGTTTGAGTACTTGCAATCAGTAGGTTTCGTCCCTGTTGATCCAACTCAAGCATGGAAGTGAGAATAAAACACCTGAGAGTTTTAGGTCAGGCAGAAGAATTGAGTTTATTTTGTCTTTTCACCTCATATTTATATGTTGGAAGATGGATCGGTACCTATTCTCATGAGTGGCTTAGGTTTTGGTCTACGAGAGATTGCCCATCGAGTGGCTATTAAGAGTGTGACAGGTTATCTTTTGGGCTGAGTGCTAAAAGAACACCGGATCAAGGGTGCCTTAGACACATGAACCAACTCAAAGAGCATGGGAGGGTTCCCCTACAGCAATGCACTAATGACGTTGTTGTTGGCCTCCATGGTGCAAATGCTCCTTTTATACAAATACATCTATTCTATCTTATAGAACATTTAGGCAAAACTCTTAAAATTCTAGAATACAACGTTTATGAAGTATTAAGTACAAATCACTAATGCATTAAGAGTTACGATTTGTTGATAATTTTGACGCTCAATTGCCTTGCCAATTTCAATTACGTTACTGTTGTAATTCATTCATCATCTAAAGACACCTTTTCAACAATAAAAAATGATCATCTTTCTCTTTTAGTGATTGTTTCTTTAGAAATATGTGCTTCAACTACAATTTCAACACCATACTTTCGAGAAAGATCTTTTCGTTGTCCCCTTTTTGGTTCGGTTTTTATTCATCTCAACTTAGATTAAGGAACCAAAAAAATGAGAACGTATAAAAATAATCATAAAACTAAAAGCACGCAAATAATTCTTTTACTAAATGCATCATATATTTTATATATGAAATGAAAATAATTTAATTTTAGGTGAACAGATGAGAAACCGTCAGATGAGGTGGCTGCCTTTGAGAGAGAATACTTGAGGGGCTTGCTGCTGTGAGAGGCATGAGTAGGAAGGAAAGAATGCATGGGGGAGGGAGGAGTGCTGCCTTGAGAGAGAGAGGGAGAGGGAGAGATAAGAACAGCACTATGAAATTTTGATTTTTGAACCGGTAAAAGATAATTTGGAGTTTTAGCGTTTTTAGATAATTTAATCAATTTATTGATAAAATAGCAGCCGATAAAAGAGGCGTACGCCTGAAACACCTCTGTTCGCCATCTCTGTTACTCGAGGCATATGTCACATGCAAGGCTTGAGAGGCGTCCCCTCATGCTCGTCCATTTTTAAAACCATGTGTGTGTGTGTATATATATATATGTCGAACCTTACAGTAAATCATTATTGAAAGGTGATGATGGCATCTGGAAAGTATGAACTTGTGCATGAATACTTTGAGAAGATGAAGAAAAGTGGGAATGCTCCCAAAGCCCTTACTTATAAAGGTAGCAATGCTTCCCTTTAGATGTGACTTCCATGTATCATGTATGTTGATGAAGGCTACTTAAGCACATTTTTTGCAATTCGTTAGTGCTGGTCAAGGCCTTCTCGAAAGAAGGTAAAGTCAATGAAGCAGTGGAAGCAGTCAGGGATATGGAACAGAAGGGTGTTGTTGGAGAAGCATCTGTATACTGTGAGCTAGCATTCTGCCTTTGCTTCAATGGGATGTGGCAAGAAGCTATTTTAGAGGTACGTTTTTCTTTTCAAGTGTCTTAGAATTTGAGTGGTTCTTTGTGTTCTTGTGTGTGCGTGTGCATGTTACTGTGATACAGATTTTTTTGGCACCTGTAAAACATCTCATTGAAAATGCAGATTAGGAAGATGAAAAGACTTCATCTAACTAGACCTTTGGTGGTTACCTTCACCGGCCTGATAGTGTCTTCATTGGACGGAGGGCATATTGGTAACTGTATACGAATCTTTAATGTCAGTAAAGAGCATTGTGCTCCGGACATTGGGATTATAAATGCGATGTTAAAAGTTTACGGGCGTAATGATATGTTTTTTGAAGCCAAGGAGTTATTTGAGGATACAAAGAGATGTAATGGTCATAACATAAGCCTGGGTCGTGATGGTCCTTTTGTTAGCCCGGATGCATACACTTATGGTGAAATGCTGAGAGTATCTGCTAGCGCTCATCAATGGGAGTATTTTGACTATGTGTACAAGGAAATGATTTTTTCGGGGTATCAGCTTGATCAAAAGAAGCATGCATTTTTGCTTGTTGAAGCTTCCCGGGCTGGAAAGGTATGTGCTTTGTTTTCATATTTCTCTTAAATCATATATTGTTCTTGTTCTAAGAAATGATGGAACATTTTTATCCAATTTTTTGAATTTGTTGATTTCAGACCCATTTACTGGAGCATGCGTTTGACGTAATGCTGGAAGGAGGTGAAATACCCCCATCATCATTCTTCGTTGAAATAATATGCCGAGCGATGATCCAAGATGATTTTGATCGAGCTATAACCATTCTTAACAGCATGGCTCATGCCCCATTCCTGGTTCGAGAAAAGGAATGGAGGGGTCTGTTTGAGGAATACAAAGGTAAAATCACTCGGTCTCATTTGCGAAAACTTCTTGACAAGATTGGTTCTCATGATATAGCAATGGAAGCTTCAGCCTATAAGTTATCACGACTATTGCAATCACTTTGTGGATCAAAGTCAAATAACGCAAATGAGAGTGTGGATGATTTACAAGAATCAGCATCATCATCTTGTGATGTTAAATTACACAGCATAATGGAACATTATGCGGATGAGTTGGAATCTGTTGATGAAAGGCCAAAGTCAAGGGATTACGATGATTATGATTCAGAGAATGATTTGTTGGGTGGTGAATTAGGGCAAGTGGATGAATCAAAGAGACACAAGTTACCATCAGCGGATGGGATACTGGAAAATTGGAAGGAAAGCATGATGAAAGATGGCATTTTTTTGCCTTTTCAGACTGGCATCAAGTGATTCCAGATCAGTTTTTAGGCTTAATTTATATGCATGATAATAAATAAATCATCAACTGAAGATCGAATTTTGATAATGAGTGCTTTATTTTAAAGCAAATTTTGGTATATAAAGTGGCCAACATGGTACTGACTAGGGTCTGTTTATATAGTTGAAGTTCACTTCAAATCTGACATGAGGCTACTTAATGTCAATCGTACAAGGACAAGATGGGACAAAAAAATGTTTTTTCCCCCATCAAAATAGGTGGAACAAGATGAGATAAAAATGTGACAAAATATATAACTTTAATGTAGTATTTGTTTTAATGGTTATCATCGTCCATTGTTGTTGCTGCCACCACGATTGGCCACCGATGGCTACCACCGACCACCATTTGTCACCTTCACTTCTTCCACTACGACCATCTCCATAACCACCGTCGTCCACTGGCCACTAACTTTAATGTAGTATTTGTTTCTTCTTCACGTCCTCTGCAATTATCGTCGTCTACTGGCCTATCACCTTCTCTACCTCCACCATCATTGTCGACGCAACATCCTCCACCTTGCCTGATGAATTCGTAAGGATCTTTTGAACCGAATAAAACACTTTTTTTTTTGTATGAACCATATTTTTGGAACTACTATCAATTATATTAAATTATTCATTCAAATTTGATATTATATAGATATGTATATATATGTATAAGAAAATGTTTATAAATTAAATTATCCAAATATTTACTTGATTTGTTTCATTTATGATTATTATAACATTATCAAATAACTTTTACAATAACATATCTAATTATGTCCTATCTAGTTCTGATCATACCAAACACTTATCATGTCTATGTATCAAACGTTAGTTAAAAAAATACAAAAAGATTTGGAAATGAAGAACTCGGTGTTGGTTGTTCATCAAATTTTTCATCGTCTTTACATATGTATGTATGTATGTATGTATGTATGTATGTATGTATGTATGTATGTATGTATGTATGTATGTATGTGTATGGTGATGTTATTTATCAATTTTTGCTTGACTCGTGAAGGTGTCTATGAATATAACAAGTTATAGAAAATGGCAAGTATGAAATAAGCAAAGGGACAGAAAGAATGCAATATGTTAAAAAGGATATCTTCATTTGTTGGCCGACTCGTCTTACTCAACATGCTCCATGCTGACAATAACTAAAAGATATGTCCTATAAAAAATTATAGATGGAATAAAAAATACATTACTAGTTAAAATAAAAATAAAAATAAAAATATTAATATTTTTTTCACTTGGATCGAAATTAATTGTTACACAGCTTTCGTTCCCTCGTCTCGTGTATTCGGTGTTTCTTTAATATCATTATCTTGTGTTTAAAAAAATAAAAAAAATCCCAAGAACAAAACTATAAATGAAAAACAGTCATTTGACCCAAAACCCCTTTTAACTAAAATTGTTTCAGGGTTTTGAGTTCTAGAAACAGAAAGCAAATCGAAGATGCCGTTGGTGAGGGTTGAGGTTAGGAATGAATACGGATTGGGAATGCCAGAGCTGTACAACGAAACCAAAGGGGAAGATCCAAAAGCTCTTCTTGAAGGCGTTTCTGTTGCTGGCCTAGTCGGAATCCTGCGTCAATTAGGCGATCTCTCCCAGTAACTTTCTCCTTTTCCTAATTTCTGTTCCTAACTTGATTTAACAATGACATGTTCTGTACCACACCTCAATGCAATGATATCCCCGTACAAAATTTAATTTTAGTCTTATGATGTAAAGTTTCACTACAGAATTTGAACCAAAAAAAGAAAACTTGTTTGTTTCATGTGTATGCATGCATGCATTTCTGGATCATATATCAAATGATGTAGCAGTTGATTTCTAGATTTCCTGACCCATTGCAGGATATAGTCCGTCACTGATATTTTGAAAATAAATTAAGTTTGGTGCCACCAACAAACTGTTTGGAGATCAAGAAAGAAAAGTAAGTGAGCTGCTAAATCCTACTTATTGTGAGAGCATACTTTGTGGACTCCGTTAATTGGATTTAACTAGGCATGTTTTTATGGAGCATTATCACTTGGTTTAAGGAAACACCGCATCCACAAAAGTGTCCACTGCAGATGACAAAAATATCTTGAGGTATTTCTGAGGTACTCGGGATTATTGGATTAAATAATAGATGTACATAATAAGACAATCTTAGTCTAACAGGATATATGCATAGGCTGTTGATGTGGAAACTCAAAGTGTGTGTTTGGGTATGCTGTCTTTCTTCAACATTACTGTCTTTGCACTATTTCTCCCATGTCAATTTGGGTATCTGCCACTCATAGCAATCTCTTCTTGGTACAAGTTTCATATTCTAAACGGTGCTTCGATGATTTACATTGAAAATTACCACATAACCTCAAATGGTGTTTCTCATCTTTTTCTTAGCCAGTGATACCCAGCATTTTCTCGTGTATCTCAGCTTCCATGTCAGTCATTCACATTTCTGCTAACCTTACCTTCTGTACTCACAGATTTTTGTTAGCCGAACATTGCGCCCATAAATCTAAAAAGTTCTCTCCACCCTCCTATTGTGCTTAACATTTTTGCTTCATGGAACTTGTCTGCTCAAGACTAAAGAAGCCTTTTGTTATCCTCTGTTTAACATCCTCATCAATATCTCCTTCTGAAAGTGTGAGGGTCGAGGGGTGAGGAGGAGGTGTAGTCCGAGGAGGGCATGAGATGAGCAGCTGAGGTTAGACATAGCGGATTTAGGTGTTACCGAGGACATGGCCTCTGATATGAGTTCTTGGAGTCGCAGGACTAGGGTAGTAGACAAGGAGTGGAGATCTGTATCAACTTAGTCGGGAGGAAGGAATCCAGAGAGGTAAGAGGATGAGGGTAGGGTTAGTGAGCTCGCAGATAGACCTCCTGAGCCCTAGTGTAGGTTTCCGTACCTTCGTTATGTTTTCTTGCACCTGCTCATTTTGTATGTTTTATTTGTTTGTATGTTTCAATGTTGTTGCTTACTCCGAACATATTTTTCAAATTTTAATACTACCTTTCTTGTTTCAAGTTCTTCATTGTCGGGTCTTTTAACTTGCACGCTTTGCACAAGCCTGGGGCCTTCATTGAAACAGCCACTCATTTGGTTTATGAATATCTTCTTATTTTGTAAACCTTCTCCCAAATGACAAAATACATCCTTCTTACCTGCTTGTCTCACTATTTTTAACTTCATCTTTCGTTTTTGAATTGGAGTGGTTAAAATGGTAGCAGCTTTGGCAGGATTAGCATCAACCTAAATATTTCTAGAAGGTGACAATTAAAGCTGACATAAATTAACTACTTAAGTAGTGTATTGTGCCATGTAGATAAAATGAGGACATTCGCCCATTGCAAAGTTGGTGGAAACATGGCATATTCGTCCTTAATGATATCTAAATCTCCCTTCTTTCTCCTCTTACCATCATTGGAACTCAAGTTCCCTTAACATGATGATAACATAGATTAGGCACTTCATGTTAGATATGGCATTGTATAGGTAAGCTGATCATTCTTTTCCAAATTGCAAACAGGGCATGTACTAAAGTTCCTGTCATATTTTTGATATTTTATGCTTAACTTGTGGGTTATCTGATTTGTGATCATGCTCGTCATTGCTTAAAAGCCTTACCTGTTTTTTAAAATGCTAAGTTTAGTCTTGTAGGCCTTATTTTGGAGAATAAAGGTTAAGTATAAATCTAGCAATGAGCCACCGCCTTTAGTGATACAAGAATACTCAAGAAAAAATGGGAATAACAAATTAATTATTAATTGCCATACAAGGGAAATTTGAGAGGTATAGATTGAAGAATGTGATCTACACCAAACAGAGACATATGGCAAAGCTTAAGAAAAATATTCCTCTCGGTTTTATCTATCTATATGTATCTCTTTTGGTCTTTAAAAAAAAGAAAAGAAAATTCTTGATTTATTTCTGAGTCATCATTCTCTGCGTAAGCGTTCATCATGCTTGTTTTGTATTGTCTTTTGCTTTCTTGTTATCTTCTATGTTCCCTTCAGGAATTTTTTTCATTTCTGTATTCTTAGTATTAAATGTTTTTCATTTGAAATATGTAGCTTCAGAAGCCTGACATAGAATCTTTTGTATTTCACAGGTTTGCAGCAGAGGTTTTTCAAGGAATACAAGAACAAGTGTTGATCACATCTTCAAGAAGCGAAAAATTGGGGGAACGTTTATACAATGTGGAAGCTGCTCTCCCTCTACTAGAAAAGGCTATATTGGCGCAAAGGAGCCATTTACATTTCACCTACACGTCTGGTAACATTAATGTGCATGTGTTTCTTAGTTCCAGCAACAGATGATGATAAACCAAAGCCTAGTTCTCTAATAATCATTTTATTAAATTTTTAATAATTATTCAGTTCAGTTTTAATAATTATTTTATTCATTAAATAACAATTTAGTATTGTAATGTTAGCTAATAAAATAATATTTTGATGTTAAGTTATGGTAAAGAATATGCAATTGGGATCAAATAAGTTATACTTGATAAAAATATATTCTAAAAAGTTGATACGTCACCTAAAAGAAATTGGTGATTCCATTGATGTAGAAGGTAATTGCAGAGTCATTGCTAAAGCTGACGTGACACTTTAAGAAATTATGGATGGCCTAATATCCTCATCAAACTCTGTGTATTTGTCGGGTCATTTAGAGGCTTTCCATTCATGACCAATGATTTTCTGGTCCTGGTCATGAGTGGGTCTACTAGTTCATACTCATAAGATCCAGTCTAATAGGAGGTTCTCCTATAGCAAAGCAAGATTCTCTGATGATGTCTTAATGCCTCTACCTCTACAAGGTTTCTGATCAAATGTGGAACTCTTTCCCAATGGAAGTCTTCAGATCTGCCAATAGTCATCTTCCATGTATTTGCCAATGTAGATAGAACACCTAATAATTGTCACCCGTTAGCAAACCCAGCTTTAGGAGATCTTCATATTGGATAGGGGTCGTTGAAGACAGATTACCTTGGAGGATTGCTAGTTCATGTATACCATTGTTCTCAAGAAAGCTGTTAGGAAATATTTTCGTATCTACCTTATGAAAAGGTTGATAATGAACAAGAGTACCACAAATACACACATAAGCGATTGTCATTATCTTCTCGTAATCAGTACCATATGTGAACAATCTTTAGCTACAAGTCAGGTGGAGAGAACCATCATGATGCAATTTGACTCTAATATCCTTATCCAGTAATTTTCTTAATTATTAACTGTTTCTGTAAAGGCCAAATTGCGTCATAATGGAACCAACCTTGCCTTCCTTTCTATTTTGCAGAACCAACTTTGAAAATCTCCATTTTGGGGAATCAACTCTCAGAACTTCTTATGGGAACCGACTTCCGAAACTTCTCCTTTTGTGAACCAAAATGGAACCGACTCTGCCTTCCTTCTTATTTTGGGAGACATGAATTTGGTCACCGGGTCCCTTATGAGAAGTTTGAAAGTTGCTTCCCCAAAATGGAGGTGTTAGATGTCGGTTCCCCAAATTAGGAATGAAGGTGAAGTTAGTTTCATTTTAATCAATTTTCTATTCTGTAAATTGGCTTTAGACATAGGTTTTTTTGTTCATGCATGTCCTTTACAGATAGATAGATCTTATATGACAGGATCACAGTGGCATACTCGACTACCAACTGAACAAAATCACTTCATCTATAGTGATTTGCCACTGTGTATAATGGACTCCTATGAAGGCTGTCACAATCCTCCACGTTTGCAGAAGCTTGACAAGTATGGCCATCTTTTCGTATTTAATTATAATCATGTAGTAGGTATCTAAAGCTTCATTCTTCATTTTAAGATTTGATACCAATGTCCGAGGATCTTGCTCCAAGAGATACTCAGATCCAACTTATTTCAGAAGAGCTTCAGCTGGGCCTCGTGGAACACACCTTCAAAGTGGACAAGGAGAAAAGAAGGCTCAAAGAAGCAAGGTATTTACTATACTTTGCATACCACAATCCTTCTGATATACCAATTAACTACTGATATCATTCCAATATGTTACCATCCAAGTTCGATTGGCCAGGTATTATCTATCCATGTATTCTGGAAATTTAAAAGCAATCTGTCTGTTTCTGCATCTGAAACTGAAACCAATAGGAACTTCCAATTTCTGAGCATAAACATTAACTAAACCCATCAAACTGATAAGATTTACAAATTGGGAAATTGCAACAAGATAGAGCCGACTTTGCTTTCGTTTCTATTTTGGGCAACCACTTTTAAAATATCCATTTTGAAGAACCAACTTCCAAAACTTTTCATGTTGGGGAACCATCTTTCAAAACTTCTCATTGTAGGGAACCAAAATGGAATCAACGTTGCTTTCGCTGTTTTTAGGGAACATGATTTTGGTCACCGGGTTCCTTAAACGAGAAGTTCGGAAAGTCTGTTCCCCAAAATTGAAGCTTTGAAAGTTGACTCCCCAATATTGGAACGAAGGCAAAGTTGGTTCGTTTTAGTGCAATTTTTTTTACAAAACAAAAATCATTTTCACAAAAATTGGTAAACATGCCCATCTGAGAAATAAGAGTAAACTATTAATGTTTCATAATCAAATATTGGAATAACAAGATTTCATACTATGTACATGATTAAGTACATATAAGTGTATTCCATTTTGTTCTTTGATGTTAATTTATATGCATAACAAATTTGTAGTATACATACATATTATACATATAGACAGATGCATTACATTTATTTTCCTTGCACATACTAATTTATGTGTAATCACTGAAAAGTATAATGGTCGAACATTTAGTTGAATGACTAAAAGAATAATTTATCCCATGATCCATATTTGGTTAATGTCAAATTAACCAAACCAGGCTAGCCCCTTGGGGCTAGGTGCTTCACATATTTGCCAAATAGTTCACTTTCTTAGTCTATGTGTCAAGTTGTCATAAGTTTTAAGTTTTAATGGGACCAAGGGATCAGTAGTTTTCTTACATGTAAATCTTTATACGAATACAAGCACTAAAAGTGAAATAGTTGTTATTATTCATGTTTGAACTTTGAAATGTCTTACTAAATCTTCGTGATGAGCAGAAAAAGAGATCTTTAGCGAGGCATAGAGACATGACACATGATGCTCCCACATTCATGCATGATGGCGGGTAAGCTACCAATACCATATTGATTATATGCAATGAAAGTGGCTTGTGAGAAGAGTACCACTTGGCTACTTGTTAATAAAGCATCAATAGTTATATGACGCTTCTTTCTGCAGAATGGACTTACCCTCTCGAAACTATACTGGGAAAACTTCCCAGTCTCTAGATGTTCCTACAATACATGTTGCATCAAAGTCTGGAACTGAACCTAAGGAGCCTAAAATGGAAGATCATTTAACTTGTTTTGATTCAAGAAATGGGTCAGGCTTCATAGAGTGTATTTTCCATCCAAGATACTCAACACAGTCTGAAGAAAATGAAACCAAGGAAATGTCTTCTGATTTGAAAGAGCAACAAAATGCTTATCTTGATTTAGCTCCATTCCATGAAAAGAATGAAGTTTCAGATGAAACTGTTGAAAATAGTAGTAATTCACAAGAGGGTAGTGCACCAAGATGGTCTTTCGTCACTTGGGATGAAAAGTTGGAAATTGTCGAGTCGACACAGATATTTTGTACAGAAAACAAACTAGATGCCAAGGAGAGCGAAGAATCGAGCACCAGAATTGATCTTATTGACTTCGATTTTCATGATGATCACCTCGCACTATCTGTCACTCCTAATGAGATTGAGGGTGATATGCATTATTACATGGGTGCACTTAACATCATTGCATCAGGATCTGAAACTGATGTGTGTTGCCAGACAAAGAGAGAAGTGAAGCAATATTCCGGTTTAAACAACGAGGATGTAGACGAGAAACTTAAAGAAAGTAATTTAGATGACAGGTCAATGAATTTCGAATTTCATGTTCCAGAATCTACTTACACAAGAGCTATGTCTTGTAAACAAATATCCCATGAATCCCATATAAAAGCTCAAAGGATCTCTAACTCAAAGTCAGATTTATTGGAAAATAGTGATGAGGTTGCTGGCACATCTTTGATTTCTCTTACTTGCACGGACAATGAATTATTGTGTAGCTCTAGCCGCCTTGATTCATCAAGCGAACAGATGCTAACCAAGAAACCCTCTGGTCCACATACCAATCCAATAATATTTTGGACAAATGGTGGCCTGTTGGGACTTGCACCTTCCAAACCTCCAGATTTCGGTGCTGTTGAGGATGATAAACAGGTTGCAAGAGCAGATAATAGTTTAGATCATTTTTGTAATGCTTCCAGTATAACAAGAAGTGATGGGCCAATTGGTAAATCATTCGGAGAACAGTTTGGAGATGGTTGTTCTCCCCCAGTTGAACATATGAGGAGGATATCGTTGGAGGCCATGGCCATGGATGGTTGTAAACTGAAACTGATGATGTGTAATTGGCATGGAAGTAGTAGTGTAGACATGTTTGAGTTGGCACATGATGAGTCAGAGACAGATTCAGACAACACATTCTATAGATATCCAGAATATGCATCATCAGACGACTATCATTCGGAATTAAATTCTGAACAGTGGGATTCTCCTACTGGATGGAATTAGCTTCCATCATCACTCCCTCTGTCCGTACACCTGAATGTACTTGGATAGCTTTCTCTATGAATTGAATGCCATGCAAATATATCATCCAATTTAATTATGATGACATTTTGAAATTGTTAGGAAGAATATTAAAACCTATAGATTTGAAAGTTGTAATGATATTGTGGTTTGATTGCTTTAAGTAATTAGATTTTAGAACTTTAGATGCATGTAATCTAATCTTTAGTGCATCTTCAATGTATTCCCTACATTTATATTTTAGTTAATGTAGGGATCCCC